AACCTTCCTTCCTTCTTTAAGAATCAACAAAGACAAATCACGTCCATTGGCTACATTTTGATTACGTACATACTTTTCTAGAAATCGTAATACTAACTTTCACTGCCGATGGAATTACCCATGATTATTTCGCAAGTGAATTTATATATTCGCCATTTTCTCCTTGAAAGAGAGCACTTAAGAACAGTTTTAATAAAAACTGTTCTTATCTTGAATTTTGAGGGACTGACGCGTATTTAGCAATTGATAAAAGTATTAGACACGTACGGATTCACTTTATTTTTACCTTAAACATTTTTTTTAATGCACTCTATTTAAAATAAGTTTTTAATAGACGTGTACAAAATAACTGATTGCAGCTCTCAAGCTAAACCATGAAAGTCTACTTTGAAATCTGTGTTCAAATGTTTCTATGAAAGTATCTTAAAATCTTACCTCCCAATGACTTGTATGCGTTAGAATGCGAAAATAAGGAGACTTGTCCGCAGACAGAAACCAGAACGAACTGCATAAATGACAAGGCAGTCTGACGAAGAAATTTGCAGCGGCCGGCTGTTCCGATCGATAATTTTCCGCGGTTTCTCGGATAACATCAGACGAATGCCGGAGCAGTTCCCTAAAAAATGCGCGACGGACCGCGCGCGATCTTATCTTACTTTTCCTTGTCCTATCCTCACCCCTTACTTAATCAGACATGCACATATGTTGTATATATTATATACCACACATTTAGGGAGAATAGCCGGGAGTGAGAGGTTGTCTCGGCTGAGGCGGTGACCCGCTGGTGGGAGATACGCGGGAACAAACCCGCAAGCCGACGGGTAGGTCGGCGTCGAATTTCACCATCCAGCTGGGAAGGATCACCGCCGCTTCGCGAGGAAAACGCATGCTCTACACTTACGGGACTAAAAACTTTTCTAGTTGACGTGCCCAGAATCACTAATCAATCAATCTGTCGAAATATTGCTCTCCACTGCCCCAGGCCTTGTGGCCGGCCGTGGTCCGCAGAGAGAATTGCTCGCGGTGGTTCGGCGGGTGGCCACGGGCGCGCTCCAGCCTCCTCTGCCCCGGCCGGGCGTCGAATACCGGAGTCAATCAGTCGCATGTTTATTCATCGCCTTCGCGGTCGCTGCGGGCCCCCGGTAATTGTTTATGCAAATCCAACCGTCGGCGCCGCTCATAAATTGAAGCCCTCCCCCTCCCCGCCTCCTCGCGCCCCCCCCGTTCCCGCCGCGCGGCGCGCAGGGAGGGAGGGAAGGCGCGGAGACGGGTCTTCGACTAGAGTCTGGCAAGGCGAAGAGGATACCTCCCGCGACCTCATACCAAGTGGCTGTCAATGAGGCACAAAATAAGTTTTTATTCGGCGACAAATAAAAGCGTTACTAAAAGTGCTCTCTAGTAGCAGTTTTAAAAGTGTTCAGATAAATCTGTGAATTCAACAACAAAGGAAACAAAATAGTTTCGTTTGACCGCATCAGTTGTTACTGACCTTAAAGTGTCATTTAGTGAGTTGTACCCTTGAATGAAAATATAATGGAAGTCAGTAAGGATGTCTGAAACGTAGTGAGTGTCACACATATTTAAAGAGATTTTATTTTCCTCATACACGCAAAATAAAATTTAAATTTTACCACCTGTATCATAAATGACTATTTAGCACCCGTTACAAGAAATTTCATTCCAATGGGTATGAAATTATTTTCTGATTTTAAAACGCTGATGGGTTAATAAATCCATTTCAATGATCATGAAATGGCATAGTATTAAAAATTTGTTCAATATTAACCAAAGAATGTTAATTTTTTGTCGGTATTGTCACAACGCACACAAATACACACACACGAATACACACAGAGTCTCTGTGAGAGCCTGTTTCCGTATTTGGTTCAGACTTGTTGCCTTTTGGGAAGATTCATTGACAATAGTATCCTTTACTGCCGCGAAATACGATAAAAATAGACTATCGCAGTCCTTTAACGAAAAACATGGCTCTACGCATTAACACCATTAAAATTCAAGCAGGAGGATTCATGGATATTATTGTAGAAATTTAAAAGCTGTTATTTTCAGTTTTTTGTTGGCGACCATGTACCAGAGAATTGCTTCCTAAATTTCACGACCAATTATGAAGTGAAGAATGGTGCTTTCTATGATATTAGGAGAAATATAGTGCGTCTTTATGTTCCTCGCCACAATCTTAAGAGAAACGCGGACGACATAAAGGGAATGGAGAGAATTGTCGTTGCAGCCTTTTAAGTCATTTAGGTCGGCCTTCGATCAACAGGAAATTATGTAAAATAACCGCCTTGTCTCACTATAAACTCAATATCATATTTTTAGATTAAAAGGTTAGACTCAGCAAAAATAAAATAATCTATGGTTAAACTTCTAAATGATTTTAATTTTGTTTCCTAGTACCAAGGTTTGTGCTGTTTCGTTTAGCATAATTCTTCTGGAAACTACAACAGAAAACACGAGCACTAAATGGAAGGTCTGTGTAGATCAAGGGTCTATTTCACATTTTTTGTAAAATTGCAGTATTATCATTATACAAACCTTCAAATATGATTCTTTTCGTGTAATATGTTACACTAATTACGCAACACAATGTATGGGTTGTGTACATAATCCCAGTAGGGACCTATACAAGTGTATTGCGTTTAAAATTTTAAAAACATATTGAGTTATATGATGAGTGTCAGATAAAACCTCTCATCTCAGAACTATGTCTATGTGGGATAGCCCCTTGTTCTACCGAGCCCCCTCAACAGTGCCTCGTGTAACGCAGCATCTTCATCGCGTTGGCAAACTCTAGCGGGACGTCGTCGTCATCGTCGTCGTCGTCGGCAGGGATTGCAATCCGAGGTGCTTTATCCGACGCCTTCCGAGCTCATTAGGATGGAAGAACACGGGAGGAGGACAGGTCGTAAGCCTAATCCTCGTTTGCGAGAGGCGAGGCGCCGGACGTCGTCGGCGCGACAACTACCCACTCCTCGCGTCCTCGCGGCGCCTGGCAAGTCGCGCGCCGAGAGATACGGGCTGGGGTCGAGTGGCGCTACACGCCGCGACGACACGTGGGACGTCGAACAGCGGCCCTTTCCGGGCACGACACTCGCCGCTGAAAGACTGAGAAACAATAGCTGGCTGTCACGTATACATTTTTGTCTAGCACGAAGAATCGCGTATGTTTTGACGTTTTATGTAAGAAATTGAGAATATATATATATATATATATATATATATATATACTATCAGCTTAGAGATGTTAGTTGGAAATTTTCTATTATTTCCACAAAACAAAGTACGCAAAAACAATAAAATACAGAAACAGTAATATTTAATAAGTTTTGTAATAAAAGATCAATCGTATTCTAAATAGCGGACATGATTTTAAAGATGATACTTCAATGCGTTATAGAATATTATAGGCACCTCGAAAATCATACCCTCTTCTTCATTAATCATAGGCACAGTCTGAACCCAATATATATTTTTTACTTTCATGAATTTGTGTAGGCAATCAAACGTTATTGGTTTCAACGCATGAATGATAGCTTCTTTCAAGATTTCAGTAGAATAAATATCAAGATATCAATAGAACAATGGTAGTTTCTCCAGAAACTACTCCTAGTCCTCTTATTTGGTAGTGACATCCAAACCACGGAGGTGAAATCCCATGAATGAGATGTATTTAAAAACTACACTGAAATCGAAACATTTCCACCGATTTTTATGTGATAGTTATTTTATCATCCTTGTTAGTAAAAATCTACTTTTTTAATATTTTCTATAAGTTATCATAAATGCGATTTTATGAGCTATGTAACATAGGAAACACAAGTAACTCGACATTTTGGGCGTCATCAGTTTTGACAAGTTCTGGCAAATTCTGGATGAACATTTGTTTTAAATATTTTCACAAAACCTTAGCGTAATCGCGCAGGGAGAAATAGTTATCAGAATTCGTTTAAAATGCTTTCAATACGATTCAGTTCTAGTCATTTTAATCGATTAAAGTTTATTCATTTAGATTTAAATGACACTGGAAACCCATTTATTAGCATAAGTGCTTACTTGCGACGAGCAGAGCACTAATTAGACTTGGCTTATATTTGATTTCAATACAATTTAGTCCAAGTTTTTATAATCGAGCGATAGGTTTATTTCTTTGATCTTGAAATACTACGAAAGACCATCTACTGCGGTAGACGAGTGCTTGCCTGCGGCAAACACCAACTAGATGCATGAGTGTATACAGAAAGATGGCGTACTCAACGCATTGATATCCAAAATCAGCTTAAAATTGCTATGACGACAATGGAGCTCAAAGCGAGTTTTTAATCGCTCTACACGTTTTTTTCCTTTGGCTTGAATGGCTATGAAAACCTGACAAGTGAGTATCTGCGGCTAGCACCTATCAGAAGGACCAGCCCAGACGGAAGGTGTTCCTACTCGACTCAATGACGTTCGATTAACCGGAATTAGCCTAAAACTGCTTTGAATACGTTTCATCCCAAGTCTTTTTATTCAAATTATTCCTTAAGCTTGAATGGCTATGGAAGTTTGGCATAAGCACTGATATAAGTGAGTGATAACCTGCTGCGAGCACCACTCAGAAGCACCAGTCAAGGCAAAAGGTGATTCGATTAACCGAAATGTTACCCGATTACCAAAATCATCTTAAAATTTGCTTTCTCCATAGTTTAAAATTGGTTTCAAGACGATTCAGATCAAAAAGTTTTCTTCAACCTACGCGTATATTCCTTTGACTGACTATGGAAGTCTGACTTGTGCTTACCTGCTGCGAGCACCACTCAGAAGCACCAGTCAAGGCAGAAGGTGATTCGATTAACCGAAATGTGACCCGATTAACCAAAATCATCTTAAAATTGCTTTCTCCATAGTTTAAAATTGGTTTCAAGTCGATTCAGCTCAAGACGTTTTCTTCAATCTTCGCGTATATTCCTTTGACTGACTATGGAAATCTGTCATGTGCTTACCTGCGGCGAGCACCAACCAGAAGCACCAGCCCAGGCGGAAGGCGAGCGTGCCGCCCTCCAGGCGAATGAAGAGCGGGCGCGCGGGCAGCAGCGCCCAGTAGACGAGGTCGGCGGCCGCCAGCAGCGCGCCGGTCAGCACCATCGCGTAGGCGCCGTAGCGCGGCACCACCACCAGCAGCAGGTTCATCAGCAGCCACGTGGCGAACGCCGCCCTGCGCACCCAAACACGCACCACTTAGCGGACGAAGGCTTGGCGATTGGAGCATAGAATAATGGATGACAGGAATGATAATGAATGATGAGTAATGATAATATGAATAATGAATGATAGTATAACAAATGATGATATCATAAAAGAATGAAGCAAATAGTGAGACAGAAATGGTGGAAATAATAGTAATAATAATAGAAATAATAATAGTAACAATAATAGTAACAATAATAGTAACAATAATGGTAACAATAATAGTAACAATAATAATAATAAGATAATGTCGCACCAATTACCAAATACAAATTTATATCTGTTTATTTTCACTACTGTGAATAATATTTAGTGAACGAGACTATCATATGGTGAAAATCTTTATTCACAATAAGAAAGATGGTAACGTTGCTTAATGGCTACCCTCAAACACTGGAGTAAGTGTGAAATGAAGTTTCCAATGTTCTCTTTATAGAAGTTCAGCAGCCTATCACGTACTTACCACTCAAAAGGAAATGACTCTGAACATTAATATTATTCACATTAATCATTACATTTTACGTATTCAAAATTTGTTGTAACCGACACATTTGCCCTCCGTTAAAAGTAAGTGGCTATTGTACGTCCATTGGGGCTCACATAATAGCTCTGAACGCGTCAAACTCCAATTTCTGTTGTAGCCTGGAGCCAGTGTGTTTCGCGTACCAGTACCGCACATATTCCGCTGCGTCGCTCTTCGATGTATTGACTCATGTTCGTGAAGACAAGGCGTGAAAAGGGCTGGTGTGAACGGACCGTTTTTTTGTCACGTACGACCAGAATTGTGTGTACAGCAGAGATTGCGTGTATAGGAAGGAGGTGGGCGCCGAAGTCCGCTGGCTGGCACAGAGTGTTGAAACTGTTTCCATGTAATCTACTTCTGGGAGTCGTGTCTCACGTTTCTGTGGTATGACGTGTCGGTAACTGCTAGAGGGTGCCCGTCCTAATAAGAGAATTCCTCGTAAGCAAAGAGATGATTTGCGCCACGCAGAGAAGATTGCTTTTGCATAATTTGTGCAGAAAATGCATTCTCTCGTAATGAATGCAATTCATTCATCCAAAACTTCGAACATGTGGGGCAATGTTTTCAAGAAATATTAAAGAGGTGTGTGATTTGTAACGAGGTCAAATACTTCCCAGCGTCGAATGACACACTTTCTCCTATGTTAACAGGTTTTATTGAGAATAAAAAAATATTAGAAATAAAATATTTGGATTCTCAACTTGTGATCAATGAATTTTTTTTCTCATTTATTCTGAATGTTACTGTTTCAAATTTACTATTTGTGGACTTGCTTAGCTTTGTTATTTACGCTATCAGAATGTACGTATATTTCATATGTGTCTAGTCATTGGAGTGCTTTCACTTGCTAAACGAATGTAATATCCCTTTTATGAGAATAAAATATGAAAATAATAATATAAAGAGGCAATAAGACTATTGTTAATTAAATAAGTGATTTTCGACTCATTAGCCATCATCATAATTATCATCAAATATACTGTCTGGAAGCCAAATATTCGTCTGCTCTGCTATAACAAAAGATACACATATCTTTAATAAAAATGTTTGTATTAATTCCACCTTTGATTCAATTATTTGTAATACCAACATAGCTCACATACTCAACAATACTCTTTTAGGGTCAGATCTGTTGAGTTTCTTTGGACACGTAGGAATTGTAGGGTATTATTAATTGTACTCGAAACATTGAAAGCACCTGTAACATTGTAAATTATGTTAATTTTACTTTCATAGTATCTTTGAATGTTTTTTTCTTAAAACTCTTTGAATGTTTCATATAATAGAATCTTTTAATGTTTGAATTCTTGAAACTATAATACAATTAGAATTTCCTCGTAAAGTGATTTTAAAGAATATTTAGACCGCGCATGAAGTTCTCGACATTCAAGAAAACTATCGTGAAGTATAAGTCTTTCGTTAACGGTCATTAAATTCCTTATTTATTATTCCCTGACCTGCAATCTGGGACTTAAGAAATGTGTCATGAGACAGGATGCAAGGATGAATGATGAGGGAAATGAGAGAAAAAAATGGGAGAACATTTGAGATTTAAATTTGAACTGCAATCCCATAAATTTGAACTGCAGTCTGCGTAGATGAACTGTGATCATTAGAGTATTTGTACCAAAGGTTTCCTCTAGGAGACAAGTAAAGGAAAAGTTGAAGCCAAGTGTCGCCCATTGCCAGTATTCAATAACAATTAATTCAATAACAATAACAATTATAGTCATCGTTAGTCAGCCAAAAGAGATATCGTCGAAATAATAATAATTAAAAATGTTCTGAAGATCTAACTGTGATTAACATTATTTTAAGAATCCTTAGTTGCCTTTTTCACAATTATGGGACGTATATTTCAGTGAATACACAGTTCATTCCTTTAGAAGAGTAAGCCAGATAAAAACGAATGAAGAAAGAGTTGACGATCTTATAGGCACATACGACACCCGCAAAAGTCTTCCTGTAAACCGTCCGAGCTCTCAAAAAGTGTAATCAGGCGCATTCGTAGAAAGCCGCCATTAACGCTTGCATTACGTTGGTGTTGTGTAACGAATGACAACGCCCCCACCTCAACCCGGAGGCTGCTTCGCCACAGTCTACCCCCCCCCCGCTCTTGCTTCCTCGTCTTCCTCTTTTCTTTTCAGTTTTGCATTAGCCAGTGGTCTCTGTGATTATTTCACTCATTTTATGACCTTCGTGCTTTCTCTCATTTAAACACAATTGTGTTAACATACTGAGGAAGTCCAAAGTCTTCGAGAGATCCCCGGCCACCCTGAGACAATGAAGCGGTAGCTGTCGTTGAAAAAGACGTAAGCCTCCAAACAAGTGGTGGTTGCAAGGCACTCAAGCTATCATGATGAGCAGAGCTTATTTTAGCATATCTGTTCATGTTTTTGAAGTCTTCAGTAAATTTTTTTTCTCCTCCGAACGGTTCATGTGACAAAATAACATTTATATAATGCTGTAATGTGTATTATATGTTAGTAATTACGTAATATTAGGTTTATAATAAATATTGTAATTATGGCATGCTCTAACATTTCATGGCACAAAATCGCTTGATAGACACGAAGAATAATTTTCGTTATCCTGACTTCACCAAACACTTAGCCTTTTGAATAACTTGCTCAATACAGACATACAGACATATATATTGATCCATTACATCTTTAGCATATTTGCATATTACATATGTTATTGTGCGTAATCCTCCAAGTGAAAATGGAAATTCATTGTTTCTTTATCTACACCTCGTCATATCTACAACGCTATCATTTCTCTCTTCCGAAGTGTGTGGCCGTTCTTCAAATCCTTCGCTGCGTAGGCGAATTGCCTACACCTCCCGACGCCTAAATACACCAGTCCTTCTTAATCAACCTCTCACCGCCTCGAGCCTCTAGTGCGTGGGTGAGCCAGCAGGGGTCAGGCGTGCGTGTCGTCCTTTTGTGTCGAGAGTCGTGATTTGCCTGACACGCACGACTTCACATTTGCACTTTGAGGCCGTCTCAGGCCGTGGCGCTGCGGTATGCGGATTTCATAGAATGTGCGAAAGGGCGTGCGGGATAATTAGACGCTCCCTTCGAACTGTAATCTCCAACTCTACATCTCGGCCGCTCTGAACTTTGGGGGCGAGCGGTAGAAGCACTCTTGGCTTTAGTTTATCTACATCTACGGCACGTTACTCGACGCTTCCTGTTTCGTCCGCTTCGCTGAGAAACTCCCCGGCGAGTCACGAAAGCGTTGCGCTTGAAAGGAACCGAAAGAGCCCCAGGCGCGTGTGGGCGAACATCGAGCCGCGGAATTTCCATACTTTTTACTCAGAGAAACTTCTAATCGAGCAGCGTAATTTCGAGACGTGTTGCTTTGCCGCCAGCATCATCAATTAATTCTTTTAATTGATTGAAAAGTATTGCCTGAGAGTATGTGTTTTCATAATTCAACACTTGTCGCTGAGTAATATATCGCGCTTTGTGAGAAAAAACCATTGGTGGGAAGTAACGTGTGTGTGTGAGGGGAGGGGTATAAAGAAGTACCCAAGATGCAAGAGATGAATATCAAGAAATTATGTAATTCTTCATTTCCATATAATAATAAAAAAAATGCTCTGACAAAAGAGTAGAAATATTGTCGACCATTTTATAAGTAATTAACTTACGTAAAACCTAAAGTATGAACCGGAAACAAGAGGGACCTTTCTCTGACATGGCGAAGTACACGAAAGAGAAGCATTTCCTTTAGATATGATCTCGTATTGGTTTCAATTACATATCAAATGAATTGGATATAACACCATGTTCTTCAAAGCTACATATCATGAAAGTATCCCATTAAAATACAAATATCGAGGAACGCCATTAAGGAATGCCCCATTTGTCACAATTATTGTACAAGGGCATAATTAACTCATCTTAACAATGATAGTGCTTTGACTGTTGTAAATAATCACAAGTTTTGAGAAGAATATCTTCTATCAATATTGTTGTGACATACACATTCTTATAATTCTGTTATATAACAAGTAATTTTTTTCTTCTTTTCTTCTACACAATAGTGTATATATCTCATGAAGAGAAAAATTACTTGTTATATAACTGGATTATAAGAATACACTCTATTTCGGAGTTCAATTTTTTTTAATTGCCACATGTTTGTTTTATGTTTTTAGTAATGAAAGCGTCCACTTTCGCAACTAGATGCAATAGATTCTTGGTTGTCTCGGCGACACCGCAACCTAGGCACAGTTTCGGCCCTCATGCTACCACTTTTCTAAGGGCAATTTGCCCCGTGTTTCTGAATTAATTGTTAACCAGTACCTTTTTTCTCTAAGTCCAAATATTATTTATGTCCCAAATGATGCTAATATTTAATACTAGTTTACAATACATTATCTTCTACTTGAACAATATTTCACAAAATAAAATAACATGTTATACATTTCTAGATGTAAAATTTCTTCATTTTCCT